ACGAAAATTGTGAAGAGTAAATATGACACTTAATTCGTTAGTCGTAAATCGAGGAAGGGAATGTGCGTGTGTGGTTAAAGTTCAGCAGGCTTGGTGAACCTGCACATGGATAGAGTTTGAAACCTAGTCCAGATGTGGATGGGTGTTTGTGAGTGTGGGTCATCAAGCGAACGTAACTGTTGTGGCCAATGTAAGACTTTGTGCGTATGCTATCCATACGATGGAGGAATCTATTTCGCCTCTTCTCGATAATGATATAACAGGCATCGCACGATGGAAACCTAATTAAGGTTTAAAAGGCTAAATAATGTAAAATTACAAATCTGAGTGGAGTGATATGTGTGTGTAAGTAAATCAGTTTCGGTTTGAGAAATTTGTGAATCCATAAGTGTGATTTGAAAGGAGAACAAGAATTAGGTTAGAAGAGTGAGGATTAGAATATGTTTTGTGTGATAATTTATTTTATTGTATATTTTGATTGTGATACTTGTTTAATATTTTTTAATGATAAAAATTACTATATTTTATATATTGCGTGAATGTATGTACATAATTCACCTCATCCAGGTCAGAAGAAGTCAAAGATCAAATGAAGATGACAAAAAAAACTTTATTAGTTTTTATTTTAATATTATAAATTAATTTAGATGCCTCAATTTTTTGTAAACAAATAATTATCCAGTCATAAGGCATGTATATTAAAGTATAGTTTTGCTGCATATTTAATATTTATCTATTATATTAGTTGAAAATATTATACTAATGTCGGTACCCACCGACATTAGAATTCGGGATGTTACAGGTGGTATCAGAGCACACGTCCCTTGGAATCATCCCTTGTAACATGAGGCATAGAAACTTTAGGAGAACTAAGACCTACAGAACTTAGGAGTTAAGAGATATTTTGGACATTCTCTTAAATATTTTTCAACATGGAAAATACGATGACAATATTCTACAAACCTAACGATAAGAACCATATAAGTTACTTTCTGACAAACCAGTAACTTGTATCTTAAGGTCATACTTAAGAGCAGTCTCTTAGAATTCTTGGGAACTTGGAGTGTACTTACAAGAATTAGAACTAAATGTAACTGCTCGCAACAAGACTAATTATTAAATGTGCTATTAAAAGAATTTCTAATCACGTCAAAAAATAATCATCCATTCCGTAACTTTTTAAACCTATTTCAACCAGTCATACTTTAATTGTTAAAAATTAAAAAATCAATAAATTAAATTAAACACTTGAAACTAAATAATTGATATGACCTTAGCTGAAATAATAATTCTCTAAGTATATTAAATGTTTCCAAGAAAATCTGAATAAAACACCAATCCTGTTTAAACTCGCAAATAGAGAAACATGCCTTAGAAACTAATCCAATGAAATGAAATTGAAAAAAAAAAAATTGTGAGTACAATTTCACCAAAGGTACTTTCACCTAATGGAAATAATGTAACATCACCACTTGACTAAAACCTAAGTTCATAAATGAGCGTGCTTATAAAATTAAATTCCGAAGAGAAATGAAACAAAATCCCTAAAAAAGTGTTCTAATAACAAAATCATTACAATGATAAATTTTTAAAAAAATAAGTTCTCTTATAATGAGGAAGAATATAAAGATAATTAGGCACAAAAACACTCTTAAACCTACAGACCTTCACTAATAAGAAAATGGAAAAAAAACATCAGAAGTGATTTCGTTAAAGAGTATGTCATAACCATTCTAATTTGTTGATGAAAATGTCAATAGAATATATGGATGATTGTTTTAAGTTCTCACGAATGAAAATTTAAAAAATCAAATTTCTTAAGAGAATAGGAGATTCGCACATGAGAGGAATTTCTCCAAGTAACAGAGATAATTGCCTTCTTAGTGAGAGAAAATACCTACTAACAAATAAAAAATTTTCCAAGTAAGGAGATTAGTGATTCTTATTCTTTGACAAACAATTTGTAGGGCCAAATTGTTTTAAAGGGGGAGATTGTCATATCCAGCTGGGTACCAGCTGGGTAGAAAAGAAAACAAAATAATAAATAATAATAATAATAATAATAATAATATACATAATTAATTATAATGAAAAAAGAATGAAGATAAAATAAAAAAAGAAAGACCCAGATATGTGTACATCTCTGGGAGCACAAACAAACCATGGAATATATATATATATATGTAATGAAAGAGCAGAGAATAAAAAGAATAAAAAGAAAAAAAAAAGAAAAAAGAGAGGAAAGAGCGAGGAGAGAGAAACGCGATGGTGAGAGAAGAGAAAGGGTTGAGCGGCATCGACGGCCGAGAGAGAGGGGTGGTGCGACACCACAACCAAAAGAGAAAGAAAGACAAGAGTAATCGTCGTTGGTTAGAGAGAAAAGGGAAGAGAGAGATTGAGAGAAGAGACATGGTCGGGTAGAGAGAGAAAGAGAGAGAGAAAAAAAGAAAGAAGAATAAGAAGAAGAAGAAGAAGAAGAAATAAGAAAAAGAAAAAAAAAAGGAAAAATGAAGAAGAAAGGAAAAAAAGAAGAAATGGGAAAGGAGTAAGAAGAAGAAGGAAGGAAAAAGGAAGTAGAAAAGAAAAAAAAAAGAAAAAAATTAAATTAAATTAATGAAGAAAAATGGAAGGGTGGCTACCAATGATATTGGTGCACTGCATGCGACAACGCATGCTGATTCAATCATCAACGCTTGATATTTTCGGTAACACATGTATGATGGTGCGTGATGACATTAGCGACCGGGACTGCGTGTCCTAAGGTAAAATCCGTTCCTCATTTTCTGTAATATAGTTTCCAAAATTATTCGTAATTTAATATATATATTCTATTATAAACAAGAAAAACTACCTAAATGGTATTCAAATTTTCGAGAGAACCGTAGATCGAGCTAGAAATGATTTTCAAAGCTTTTCTGATCGCACCATATGTAAGAATTATGTGTATTTCGTACGGAGATATAAATTATATGTTTATGTAAATGTGTATATGTATAGTGCATTGTGTGTGAATGTTTAAATGTATATGTAATATAATAGGAATATAAGTAGTATGTCTAATTTGTATTTGTTTGTATTTATGTAGTGTATATATAGATATGTCGTTACGCATGTATGTGTGTATGTATAAAAATATACGATGAATGTGATATGAATTGATAAGAACAAAATTGATAAGAGCAAATACATGAATAAATATGTATATGATATGTTGTGTGTGATTGTGTGTACATATTTAAGTATGAACATGTGCGTATCTATCTGTAAAAATTGTGTATGTGTGTGTATGAATATAAATATATATTCTGTTTGAGACATGTAGTAAAGATACATGTCTCTGCATTGTAATATATATGTGTGTGTATTAATATGTGTGTACATATGTTATACATGTGAAATGTATAACTAGTGTGTGTATGTGTGAAATTTGGGTATACTGCACTGGCAGTGTGATCTGTTACAGATGTACGGTGCACCGTACTTGTTATGTGATCTGGTACAATTGTGCTAGAAATCTGAGTATCCTGTACTGACTGTGTGATCTGGTACAAGATGATTCAGAAAGTATTTTGAAATATATAGTTTTGTTGTGTGTATGTTTGTATTTAATTGTGTGTAGAAGTTAGGACTTTAAATTAATATAAATTTTAGATTTTTAAATAAGAAACTAAATAGATTAAATAAATTTAGAGAACAAACATCAAAGAAATTGAGAAGTGTAAGTTCGTTAGAGAAATAGATTGAATACGCTACTATGAAGGCAATCATACGAAAATTGTGAAGAGTAAATAAGACACTTAATTCGTTAGTTGTAAATCAAGGAAGGGAGGGAGGGTGCGTGTGTGGCTGAAGTTTAGCAGGTATGGTGAACCTACATAAGTATAGAGTTTGAAATCTATTCCAGACGTGAATAGGTATTTATAAGCGTGGGTCACCTAGTAAACGTAACTGTTGTAACCAATGAAAGATTTTGTGTGTGTACTATCCATATGATGGAGGAATCAATTTCGCCTCTTCTCGATAATGATATAGTGGGTATCGCGCGATGGTAACCAAATTAAGCTTTAAATTACTAAATAATGTAAAATTATAAATTCGAGTGGAGTGATATGTGTGTGTGAGTAAATTCATTTTGGTTTGAGGAATCTGTGAATCCATAAGTGTGATTTGAAAGGATAATAAGAATTACGTAAGAATGAGGATTAGAATATGTTGTGTGATGATTTATTTTGTTGTGTATTTTGATTGTGATGTTTGTTTGACATTTTCTTTGATGATAAAAATTATTATATTTTACGTATTACATGAATATACGTACGTAAGTCTCCATTATAGAATCATTTTTCTTACTGAATTCGTGAAGTTCAACCCAATTCACCCTCATCTAGGTTAGAGGAAGTCAAAGATTAAAGAAAGATGACGAAAAAAATTTTACTAGTTTTTATTTTAATATTGTAAATTAATTTAAATGTCTCAATTATTTGTAAATAAATAATTATTCAGTCATAAGAGATGTGTATTAAAGTGTAGTAATGCTGCACATTTAATATTTATCTGTTCTACTAGTTAGTGCTAACATTTGTACCCACCGACATTGGGATTTAGGATGTTACAGATATATTATCTTACACTTACATACGCAATGATTTTTAATCCTTTACACTGTTAATTAGTAACGGAAAAACAGGCAGCAAAAGACCAAAAAAATCCATAATATCTCTTTTTACCGTATGTTTATAAATTAAATAAGAATATAATATCATATGAATTAATTATAAAAATAAGATTTATGAATAAATATCAAGTTACTAAATACTATTCAGCTGAATAATTAGTATGTCATTTTTTTTATAAGAGATAATAATTTTTTTTAGTGAAGTGTAATTCTAAGTATATTTTTATTTAAAAGCTACTTATTGTATTATAAATAATATTTTTGTATCACATTATTAATTAATATATGAATTTATCTTATCTCTAAAAAGCAATTATTAGGTGCATTTTAAAAGCGCATATAAATTGAGGTGTGCAATTGATTTAGTTCAACGGCTTCCTGAAATTATAAAAATTACAAACATAATTGAGAGATCCTAATAACTCTTCCAATTTCTCAAAAGAATGATGTATCTCCCCCAGAAAATGAAAGTTTGTCCAGCATTGCAGAGCGTCCTACAGCTCGGTGGAAAATAGGGCAGCAAAATTCTCCATTTCCTCCCTCGTCCTCATGGACACGCCAATCTCAACTCCTCCATTTCCATCTCTACTTTCCATCAAAGAAAAAGCTCCGGTCCCGTCTATAGAAGCAATCTCTACCTTCTTAGGCCTTCCCCACCCGAAATCTATACCGTACTCCCCAAATCGGTTTGACCCGGCAACAGAACCCCCCTGCGTTCCTTGTCCTAAGCTCATCACTTTTGACAGTAAAGCCGGTACTCTTTTAGGAGCTTCAATATCTAAACCTGAAAGCAAATCACTTAAGTTCTTGACAGCTGTGACGAACCCATCCTTCCCCATTAAATCTCGAGCGTAACCAAGACCTATCTGTGGTACAACGCAATTGCCGAAATAGTTTGATGGTAGTGGAGGGTCTAAGCGGGTTCTGTAATCAGCTGCGAATCCAAAGCATATGGGTCTGTTACTATCTCCTCCTCTAGCTTTAACCATGCAAGTGAACACATAAGCATATGTGACAACGAAGGTTGACAAGTGAAGTGGCTTCTTTACATGATCGTTTTGGAGCAGTACCCTTTCTTTTAGTTTCTTGAGATCTTCACGAGACAATCTGAATGTCGCTCGAACAAGTTTAGAATCAATTTTTTGAACCGGCAATGTTTTCAGGTTTCTTTTGCTGGAATCTGAATCTCCCCCACCCAAAGCTATCCACATGTTCAGAAACTCTGTTATGAGCCCGGCTGGGTCCTCGATAGCACTCCGGTCAAAGGAGGGAATTAGATCTGCTGGAAACGAAACGTTTTCTTGATCTTGCTTGCTCATGTAAGCCCATGCTTTAATAAAACTCGTTATGGTATGGCCATCAAGAACTGCATGATGTGTACTAAATCCAATGCTAAATCCTTGACCGGGAAACAGCGTTATTTGCAACGAAATAATGGACGATGTGCGATCGCCTACCGGCAAATTGGGTAATAAACTGTGCAACTCGGTGACTTCATGAACCTCAGAGGCACAGAAATTAGCCAAGTCTGCAGTGGACTCAGCGACGGTGAGAGAAACGGCGTCGCCTGTAGCGTACGCGATGATTGGCACTGGATCACTTCCATCCCACTTGAGATTGCCGGCAAGGGGGAAGTAGTGTGCGAGAGCGGCGGAGAGGGAGCGTTTCAATCTGGGGAGGATATCTGAATAGAATGATGCAGGAGTTAAGTCAGGGAGTTGATAAAGAAAAACGCGTTCCGTGGGTGGGAATTTAAACCAGAGGGTGTCGAAGAAGGTGAGGGGGAGAGAGAGGTGGGAAGGGGACGGAGAGGAAGGGCTGAGTTTTGTAAACTCAGTGATGTTCATCGTTTTATCAGGCTCCATTGCATCATATGAAGAAATCTCAACGTTTCTTTTCACTCAAAGATGGAAGTCTAAGATTTCAGAGGATTTTATACATTTAAGAAATTAAAAATAAATAGGGAAGAGTTAATGAT